GCTGGAAGGCTTCGCCCTTCCACAGCCTGCTTGCTGAGTGCTGCCCTGAGGAGCACAGAAAGAAGGAGAAGCGGCTGCCCAGCAGAACGAGGGACAATGGGAGCACTAAGGAAGCAGAACAAGTAAGCGAACACCAAAGCAGTGCCCTTGTCCATCAGCCAAGCTGAGGCCATTGAAAAAAATAATAGTGCGAGCACCTTAGATGAACGTGCTTCAGTAAGTCTTACATGTTGTTTGTTCTGTTTTTAACTTCCTTTTGCAATTTACAGACACAGCCCAGGGACTTCAGCCCAAGTAGCCGGGCACTTGTGCAACTGCCTGTTTGGCAGGCACAGGGCACGATGACAGCGTCAGCAGCATGCCACCCTCCTGAGCTGACAGAACTGCCTTAGTGAGCGCATAGCTGGCTGCAGTGAAGCATACCCCTTTCTCCTGCAGCACACAACGACCACGACGAGCAGCTCCTATGGGAGTTGCACAGCGCTGTAACTACAACTCAGGCTGGAGCAGCCCTACAGAGGCACTTGATTTCTCAGGGAGGTAAACCCCACAAAACATTCATCCTCTCAAGGAGGTAATGAGAGGCTAGCCTTTACCAGCTACAGCATCCCCCTGGAGCATCAGCTGGAAGTTGCCATACAGGCATCAGTGGTTTTACACCGCGGAGCAACTCCTCCAGAAAATGCATACGCCACCATTGCACTGCTTGGTATCCTTACCGAATTAAGTCCTAAATGGGACTTATCTGGCTTTTGTTCTTAATCACTTTGTTGCAAGTTCAAATTTATAATTTCAACCTAAATAGAAGTGAGTGATTTATTGTAATTATTTTGTATAGGCTGCTCTTCATAAACCTTTTTTTTTTTTTTTAAATCTGGAAAAACATTTAATTTCCCATATGGAAAGAACACATTTATCATACTTTACTCGGATATACTTGGCCGACTATTGCACATATATGCAAAACATATGTGACATACTCAAGGCCGAATTTTATAAAACAGAAATGCTATGAAATGTGATATAATAAATATATTACACAGACATATGTGGCCAATTTATAAAACTATAGTATCTTTGGTAAATTTACAATAGGTCATTTCCATTAATGGGGGAGAGTAAATGCATTTTTCTAGCATATGCAACACATATAGGACTTTGCATAGATTTCCTGAAGGGAGATGGGCTTTTGAAAAGCAGGAATTTACATGTACATGTATAGTGAATATGGGACATGTCCGCATTTTTCATTGATGTATACCTTCAAAACCAGCTCTTGCTTTTTGCATTGGACAAAAAACAAAATATGGAATAACGTGCTTGGAGATTAGCAAACCTCTGCTACACTAACTAGTCCTTCCCACAGACAATGGGTGTCTGTTGCTTTAATTGAGAACACATTTTATAAGCACGCACTGTTTATGATAAAGGCCATTAATAGAAATCTGTGGGTATGGTTGCTTTCATCTAGTGTGAAACACTTGTAAATTAAATACCTTTCCAATCAATTGAATTGGAATAATTGAGGAAAAAATGCATGTGTTTAGAAAACGTTACATGCATGCTAACTTGTCCACTATGCTGGCTGGACTTAACATGGGCTAATAGCAACAGCTGAATTATTACCGGCTGATTAGCCTCCCATTCTAACCCACAGATTACACCACTGCCTTATTCCTGCCTGTGGCCTTTAAGGATCAAACCCTGGCGTTCTTAAACAAATCGATATTTTTCTCTCCGGCTGTCCATTTGCAAGTTCAGGCAGATGTTTTCTTAAGGGCTCGTTTTCCAGGTGTTCCCCGTCTAACCCATGCGATGCACAGCTCTTCCCTCTGGAGGGAGCTTGCCCTTCAGGCACCGGAGCCGTGGTGCCGGGATGCCCGCACCCACCGCCCCGCAGCCCCTCGCACCCGCGGTCCCACCAGCTCCGCCAGCAAAAAAAATGTTTGTTTGAAACCCATCATCAAACCGAACAGGATGAAAGGCGAAACGAACCAGAGCATATGCACATGCACCCGCTTTCACCACCCTCCAGCCCAGCCACGTTCAGCAGGCTCACGGCAACTTGTTAAGCTCCTTGGGCAGAGATGCAAGAACACGACGTGCAGGTACGGCTCCGTTAGCTCTTCCAACGCTCCTCCGGGCTGCAGCGATCAGCGCCTATTGCCCCAACCCAGCCCGTGGCTGCTTAACTCACTTCTGATGGCTACAGGGATCCCTTTACACAGGCAGAATTTGCACTGCATATGAACTTGCCTTTCCAATTCCTTTCAGATGAGATCCAGGTGTGACTGCCCCTTACCCACGCATCACCAGCTGAAGTCCATCTGCTGGAGTGGGAGAGACCGGCCTGCCGGGGGGGCTGCGTGCCAGCAGAGGTGACCCAGAGTCATGCAGCCTCAGTGCCATGGCTCGTCCCCAGCGCGTGGGAAACCCTCCCTGTCCTCCAGAACACCTGCCCTGGTTTACAGGGGGCTGCTGAGCTAAGGGGAGACTGGAATGGAGGAACTGGGGGGGAACATCGTGCCAGCAGTCCAGCAGAGTGTACCTGCCCCACTGGGGCAGCAGCACGGCTGTGCTCCAGGCCTTGGCCTGCCTCCTGCGGGGGGGCTGCTGCAGGAAGTGGTCCCATGGCACTGGCCCCCCACATTGCCTCCACAGAGGAGTGAGGCATGGCAGGAGCCAGATGCCATGCAGGGGGCACCAAGAACCTGGGATTTACAGTGCACCCTTTTTGCTTTGTGCCAGCTGCCCACAAACTGGCTACGATCCCTTGCCTCAGGGCTGAGGGTGCCTGCCATTGCTTGAGCCTAACGCTCATTTATAATGTCTTTATTTGGGGGAAATGGAGCAGAGATGGGGGAACACAGAAAGCTATTCCAGGGTTGCTGCATCCTGGTAAAGGTTGCAATGTGGCAGAAATAAACAGAAATCCAGCAAGAGCCACGAATATCTAAGTACTATGGAGGCTGGGGGCAGGGCTCTGCTCATGGTGGGCAGAAGTCTGGACATAAAGACCATCAGCACTTCCGTGAGAAGCACGAATCCCACCACACACACAGCTGATTCTGCAGGTGAACATTTACTCTTTGTGGCCATATAGCTGGATCGTACCATCAGACCAGGCTGGGAAAAAACCTACAGGGCTCCACACCGGTACAGAGAAAGCAGTGCCCAAACCAAACCCAGGCCGCATCTCACACAGCCTGGCCCAGTGGCTGCAAAATGACATTTCACTCCTAGTGCTGTCCCTGAGTCACTCTGCACACACTGCAGCATGGAGGAAACCAAAGTAGGTGCTCTCCTGGCAACGGCCATACATGTGGGTGCTTGAGACTGTCTTAAGAGATCCCAGCCCCCCCGGGTCACCCTACTGGTGACCCCCTTCACCATTTACCCAGAGCATTTCTAGAGTCTTCCTGAACAGAAAGAAAAATTAAAAACAACATCCATGAAGCGTGTGAACAGCATGCATGAACGCTGCAAGCACACTGAAGTCTTACCCCCACACTCTTAATCCTACATTTAATTTAGTCAGATTTACTAGGAATGAAAAACAACAAAATCCCCCAAACCCTAGGGTATCCCCTTTGTTTGGGTAAGTGATCAAGCAAACATCCCCCTTGTTTCACCTGCGAGTGCCTAATTCTTTATTTACCCACTGGAGTGAGTGATGTGTTTTTCAGACCTTTGGAGCAATCAGTAAATTCAGCATGTAACTTTGGCAAGTGGAGCCACACGGCTAATTTATTCCCTAGCCCTCTTTGGGAGAAACAACGGATGCTTGTAACCTTGGTGCTTGGGCCTGTTTTACTAGCAGCTTTTAAATATACAGCGTTCCGTGTGACTTGAGGCAACTGTAAGTGGAAGGATTGTCTGGAAACGCTGCAGATTTCTTTCAAGTATGTGCCGTGGATCTTGGTGACAGCATGTACTGAGTGAAGTTTAAACATACATGTAATCAAATCATACAAAGTCATTTTTCAAACGAAGCTGCAATACATATAAATAAGGCATGGCCTGTACATGATACATCTTGACTAACTGGCTGACAGGTAACATGAAATTAAAGCATTACAGCTTTTCTGTGATTTTCGTAAGGCTTCTGCTGCCCAATGTGCAGTGTTATGAGATTTTTTTGTGTTTGTTGTAATTTTTTTGTTGTGACAGAAAAATAATCCTGTGCATTTCCCATCTCTGGAACACTCCCACCCAGTGAGATAGGTGTAGCAAGGACAAAATGCTGGTCAAAGCCCTCAGGTAGCTTGCTTTGGGGACTAAAATATGTTATAAAAAGGACTGCTAACAAGTGCAATGTTAACATGGGCACCTTGCCAGCTGATGGCTTAAACACAAGGGTAGAAATACCATTTTCACAGTTAAAACCGTCAAGTGGGTCTTGACACAGTTGCATGTTCTCTCCTTCCCACTCAGTACAGGACTCCCTGTAGTGGTTCTTCCAGCCCAGAGGATGGGGTAGTGATCCTGAGCGACCACAGCCATAGGCAGAAGTTCTGTGATTTTCTTTTCTTCTAAAGGAGTTACGTTATGCTTCCTACAGTCAAGGCAGGAACCTTGCGCCACTTTCTGCAAGAGCACAGTTTAGTCCTGGTGTCTTGGGTCATTTGGTCCTCTCAGCTCTTGCAGAGAAATAGGTTTGAAAAGGTGTGTACTGAGAGCCAGTGGCACTTCTTGCTGCACTCTATGTATTTTTAAAGAAAACAAGTGCTAACAAACACAAATAGAAGCGTACCATATCCTTCCCAACTTGAGCCCCCAACCCTGCATGTTGTTGCACAATGACAGATCGCCAGCAACCAGGGGGAGAGCAGGGAGGGAGCATTCGCTGGGAAGATTCACTGTTTGCTCAGAGTAAACAACTCCTCAAACACCAGTTTAGCATCCCTCCTTATTTAAATGGCCTCATTTAGTAGGGGAGGTTTAGACTTCAGAGCAAACTGACCAACAAACACAAGTAACCAAACATAAAGAGACGGAAGGAAAGAAGAGGAAAAGCATTTATAAATGTCACTGTCCAATGTCTTTTCAATTTAAACATAATAAGATTATCTACATATATCTACAAATATCTACAATTATCTACACTGTTTGCAGCTATGATTCTTTGGTTGTCTTCACTTTTTCCCTACTCTGGAACTAACAGGAAAAAAAAAAAAAGCATTTGTATAATCTTTGAAAGAAATAATAAATATAACAACTTCATTAAACGTTTGACCAAAGCTTTGGCACTAATCCGTTTACACATAACAAATCATAACTGAATACTCTGAAATAACAGTGGCAAAGCAACAGAGCACATCAGAGAGCCTTTTCCCACTGACCAATAACAAGCACAAGGCTATTTTACATCAACCTTTCTGAGAACATTAATTATGGTTTAGTCAGACACTAAGAATCTCACAATTCACTGCAAATGTCAAATAAAATACATATTTCTTGCACAAGTCTTTTTCATGGATCCAGATATATTTTTTATAACAGGAAAAAAAAATACACATAAAATATTCATGTTATCCTGCACCCCTTCTTAAATCCTTCCAAAAAGTTTTGGAAGCCCAATGCCCACTGTGAGACAGAATAAATGTTGCTATTAACACTGCCACCTGCACAAAGGGATTATATTTTAAAAGATATCAAACAGTTGCGGAGTTTATACTGAAAATGCACAAACATGGACGAATGGAGGTCTTAGAAGAAGAAAAATATCCCCTCTTCTTTTCATAGAATCACGTGGAAGAATTGGGAAAGTGTTCATAATACTGTATACCAACACAGCTGAGGAGCTGTTCTATACCTTCTCTGAACACAACATGTCTGACATTCGATGAGCAGTTGATAAAAAAAACACCAGCCAAAACGCATCACTGGAGTAACCCGTGATGAACAGGTCCATCTTTCCAACATGTACGGAAAGACTGCTGAAGGAGATAGTTAAAAAAAAAGTACTTACCAGCTTTAAGAGGAAATGCAGCAAGCAGGTAGGTGCAGAATAGGTGCTTTGGGACTACGGCAGTTTGGGTGAACCAAATATAAGGGGAAAAGCTGCCCATTTCCTCTAAAAGGCACCTCTCAGTGGGAGAGCACCAGGAGCTCAGTGCAGGGTGTAGGAAGGCAGTGTTGTGAGGCTGCCTCGGGAAGCAGCCAGACCACAACCTATTGCTGCGAATACCCCGCGGGGATGCCCCCCGCACCCCCAGCCTCGTTTTTACACCTTGGTGGGAGAGCGGGGAGCAGCTCGTGGCTGTGCTGGCGGCCGCGGCCTCGCCAGCGCTGCTCGGCCCGCAGGGTGAGGCCCAGCGCTGCCGGGCAGCTCAGCAGCGGGGTGCAGCGCTTACAGTGACGGTTCCAAGTGTTCCCTTAGGTTAAACTCTGTGTCCTTTCACAGTCTCCTCCAGCAGCCCCCGCGGTGAGCCCGAGGGTCCCGGGCCGGCTGCCGGCAGTTGGTGCAGGCGAGGCCCCTTCCCGGGGCCCGCCGCCGCCCCGGCCAGCCTCGCACCGTCCTCGGGGCCGGGCGATGGCGGGGCCTCGGTCCCGGCCCCTCGCCGCTTCCCCGGCACCTCAGCCCCGAGCGGGGCTCGGCGGGACAACGCCCAGAGGCTCCGCTGAGCGCCGGGAGGCGGCGGCCATCCCCTCACAGCCCGGCCCCCTCACGGCGGCACCGCCCCACCATTGGCCGCACCGCCTGTCAATCACCGAGCCGGCCTATCAGCTCCCGCGCAGGGCGGGCCGAGAGCGAAAGGCGGGAAGGAGGCGGCTGAGGGGAGCGGCCGTTTAACGGTCGCGGCACGCGGGGCCGGGGAAGGAGGAGGAGGAGGAGGCGGCGGCGGCCGGGGGGGGGCGGGCGGCGTTACCGGGGCCCGTAGTCGTAGGCGGCGGGGCCGGCGGGCGGCGGGTAGACGTTGGCGGCGCTGACGGGGTGGTGGTGGTGATGGTGGTGGTGCGGGTGGTGCGGGTGCGGGTAGCCGTGGCCGCGGATGGCGGGCAGCGGGTAGGGGGCGGGCCGGCTCTTGGCCCCCAGGTAGTGCTCGTAGGCGGCGGGCGGGTACTTGTAGGGGTGCTGCTGCAGCGCCTCGCCGGCCTCCAGCCGCACCTCGTGGTGGGGGGGGCTGGGCCGCCCGCCGCCGCCCCCCAGGGGCACCAGGCCGCCGCCTCCTCCTCCTGCTGCCGCTCCTGCTCCTCCGCCGGGCAGCGCCGGGCTCAGCACCCGCGCCAGGAGCTGCTGGTGCGCGGCCTCGGCGTGCAGCGGGGCCCCGGCGGCCGCCTCCCGCTCGTAGTCGCGGCGGGCGTCGGCTGCGTCTGCGGGGGGCAGGCGGGGAGAGGAGAGGAGAGAGTGAGCTGGGAGCGGGGAGCGGGGAGAGCCCCCCCCGGCCCCCGCAGGGTGGGACGGGACCTCCCGGCCGCCACAAAGGGAGCTGCCGCGACACGCCTGGCATCGCCGCGGTTGTGCAATGCTGAATAAATAGAGGCGGCCCGCGGTGGCTGCGGGAGAGGGGCCTTGGGTGTGTGTGTGTGTGTGATGGGGGGGGCGGTGGGCAGGGGGAGCTGGGTGACCCGACGGCAGCTCCCCGACGCACTGCTGGGGTGTGCCAAGAGGGCGCGGGCACCGTGAGGAGCAGAGCTGGCAGCCCAGGAACCCCAGGTGGGACTCACTAAATAAATAAAAAGCTGCCGTTCTCTAAAGCAGCAAAGCTGTTGAAGCACGACAGCTTTACACCTAAGAAGGGGGAGTTAAGGCAAAAAGGTGGCTGGCTTTGTCTAAAAAATATGTGGTAGTGCAAAGCTCAGGAGCAAGGGCAGCTGCACACCAGCACAGTGAGCGAGGCTGTCCCCGAGGACACGTGTCGGCCCGGTCGCAGAGGGTGCTCACCTTTCTCTGTGCCATTCTGGTGCGCAGGGGAGGACACGGGGTTCCGCGATCTGGCAAAAGCACTCATGAGAGGAAGGGCCCCCGGCCTGTGATTCCTGGGCCTAGAAGAAGGAGGGGAGAAGTAGTACGGAGGCAGTGGTCCTGCCAAGTGAATACCTACAGCCTTGCTGCCAGCAAACAGAGCTGACCCAGCGGCACCCAAACGCCATGAAAAGTGTTGTGCAAAGGTGCGCTGGGCAGGTGCATGCTACACTCGGTGAGAAGGGGGCTGGCAGTAATCAAAGACACAGCCTTACCAGTCCTCAGGGTCGCAGTCTCTGAATCCCTTGGCAAAAGGGTTGCTGGCGATCTTCAGCTGCGTGATCTGTAAGGAGAAGGTGGGAAATGTCTCAAAGTGGAACACGGGGCAACTCCATTAGCGAGCGTGTCTCTGAGCAGCTCCGGGAGCCAGCGGTGCCCAGTTTAATGGAGCCGGGCGCTCCCTGCCACGGCACAACCACGCACATTCCCCATTAGAAAACGCAGGACAGGACGCTACCTAATACGAGTTCAAGGCAAAGGGAGAGGCGGCTGCAAAAGCTGTGTAAATGCACTTGTAAGAGAATGCCACATTATATGGGTCACCACCGGAGCAGCTAAGACAAATCACTGGATAAATCATACTTATGTATTTATTTAATTCGCCGGGGAGAAGGCAGGACATTTTCTATATTTAAGCAAATCCACGGATAAAGTATGTGATTGTGAGTTTCCGGAATGGGTTGAAAAACAAACTTTAAGCCCCTCCGTGACAGTTCCAGCCTTAGAGGTCAAACTGATAGAAAGCAGGAGAGAAAGAGCAGCTGTCCGGAGCCATCAGGCAAATGCCAGCCGGGGAGGGACTCCGGAGCCCCTTAAAGGCACAGCCTCGCTCCGGCCCGGCCGCAGCATCCCGCAGGGGCACCGGCATGCCCGGAGCGGTGGTGCAGCGAGGCACGGCCCCGGCTGCTTGGGGACAGCCCTGGGGACAGTCCCTGTGGCATCAGCGCAGAGCTGGGTCAGCGCTGAAAAGCCCCTGCTCACAAACTGTGGTTGTGATCGCGGCTGGGATTCCTGCTCCTTAGGCTGCGATTTAGAGGAGCAATGGGATTAAGCGCTGCCCAAAAATCTGCATCAGTTTGGGGGGCGGGTTGGTTCGGTTTTAAATATATTGTATTCTGAGCGGGAACAGACCGAGCCCGGAGAAGCAAGATCACAGATTTAGCCAAACAAACAGTGAGTGACATCCCGCAGCGGGGAGCCTCCAGTTTCCCATCGAGCCCGAGCCCGGTTCTCGGGTTTACAGCCGCAGGGAGCTGCCCCCGGGCCAGGGAGCACAGCAAGGGGGCCAGCGCTGCCTCGGGGCGCAGCTCCTGCCCGGCTCCCGGCACTGCCCCGGCCCTAAGCGCCCCTGCCTGCACTTCTGGGGCTCCCCCCCAGCGCCCCGGTCCCGCTGCCGCCTCACCCGGTGGTTCTGGTAGGCGGTCACGGCCGTGAAGCGCGTCTCCTCAAAGACGAAGGTTTTGAAGTTCTCCTCCGCGTATTTCTCGCTGTCTTTCCGGGGGTCCACGTAGACCACGTGAAAACGCGGCTGGTATCTGTGCATGGAGTTCAAAATGATCTGAATGATAAAACGAGCAAGGAGACAATAACTGATCCAGGCGGAGCTTTGAGAGAGGAGAGCGCAGCCCCCGGTCCCCCCTGCCCGGGGCAGGGCGCTGAGCCCCGCGGGGACACCGGGGTGCGGGCAGCGACCCCCGGGAACCAGGGCGCGGGGAGCCCCCGGGGCTCGTCGCCTCCCCTCGGGAACACTTACATGCCCGTTGTCGTCCAGCAAGTTGTTGGTCAGTTTGAGCTTATCGAAGGAAACGATCTGCTTCATCCACTGCGCCCCTTTGGCCGGGGAGTCCGGGTGGTAGTGCACCCTGCCGGGGGTGGCGGGGTCGGCTTTGCCAGCCACCAGCCAGGAGGAGCTGTGGAAGGCGTACCTGCCAGCAAGGGGGGCACCGTCAGCCACGGCCCGTGGTGCTCCCGGACACCCCCCCCCGGGCTGCAGCGCTTGGGGACCCCCGAGGAGCCCGGCCTGGGGGTAGCCCCTGGTCCCGGGAAGGAGAGGAAGAGGCTCCCGACAGCCGGTCAGGTTGTGGGGAGAGAAATCGTGTTTGATGGGGATGGAGCTGGCGGGAGAGAAATCTGCGGGACGCAGGAAATTTATAGCTACCTGTACAGACTGGGGAGAGAAGCCACAAAAGCTCCCCCTTCCTCTAAAAAAAAGTGAAAGGGAGCTCTCTATACAGTAATGTTCTGGCTCTAAGCGAAGAGTGGAAATTTATGTGCAGATTAATAGCAGGTCCAGAGTTTAGCAGCCTTGTTTCATTCTTTCAAAGTCCGTATTCAACAGTAACATTTAAAACAGAGAAACCAATCTTCTATACACGTGTTTACTTTAAAAGCCAGTGTTTGCACAGGGGGAATTAGACACCATTGGACTCGAGCAGAAACATTACTTTTTAAAGATATACTCAATTGGATGTTATATATCCCACTTCCCTTGACAAGCAAACATTTCTAGGACGCCCTGAGAATTTGGATATCTGTCTAAATATTTATATATCGGACCTGCGATTCCTACGCGCGCTGCCTGCTCAGCGTCCTGATCTGAAGCTAAATACATAATGCGCCTTTCACTGTCTTAAAATTAAAGGGGTTGCAAATCAGACCGCATCTCTGCCTTGCGACTCGCCCGTTTCCGAGGCCTTCCTATGCTGCTGCTGGAAACAAGGGGAGGGTTTTGTGGCTCAGACAGCCAGTGCCTTCCCTGCGAACAAAACCCACTCTCTTCACCCCAGTGCCCAGCAAGCGAGCTCCTCAGCGGGCACAAGCAGCCCCGGGGGGTGCTTGCGGAGCCCTGGGGGGATTTTTGCGTGCGGCAGTGGCGGAGCAGTGGGGTAGGGAGGCTGTCCTGGGCAGGACAGCACTGAGCCCTGCGCTTTTGGCTGCCCTGCTTGCGTCTGGGTGCTGCAGTCGCTGTGCACAAGCCCAGGAGGTCAGGGGGGGTCCCCGACCCAAAACTTGTCCCGGCAGGCAGGAGCGGGGTACTTGCCGGTATCGCTTGTCATCCACAGGGACAAAATCCATGAGGAGCATGTAGTCAGCCATGGGGTCCATGCCGAATATCTTCACCTGGAAGGTGGGGAACATGCGCCTGCCGCAGAGCAGAGAGAAGGGAGAGCTGAGCTGAGCTGAGCTGAGGGGCCACAGGGAGCCCCGAGGGGGCACACAAGGGTGCTGGGGCTGGCTGCGGAAGCCCCACGGCTAGGAAGAGGAGGGCAGGGGCATAATTCCTCGCTCTGGATTTTCCCCTTTTTCCTGCTGATCCGAACTGAGGCTGATGAGAGGCATTGCCCCTACCCTGGACCCACACCTGAGCCGGGTTAGGGCCCTGGGCTGGCACAGCCGGGCCCTTCTGCGGGCGACCCCAGGGAACCAAATTCCCGTTTCTACCCCTCCAAAATTGGCGCAGTTTTAAAGCTGCAGCCACAAGAGCAGCGCAGCCCCTGCACACAGAACAAAACCTTCCCCAGCCCGGAGGGGGAAACGAAGCCCCCAAGCTGGTAGGAACTGGAGGGCAACTGGCATCTCCCAGCGAGCCCCCTCCCGGTCCCCGCAGCTCTGCAGCAGGAGCGGGGCGAGAAGGAGCCGGGCGCTGGGCAGGGCGGCCCCGGGGCTGTCCCCGCGCTGCTCCGCGCAGCCCCCGGGGAGGTGGCCGGGCTGGGGCCGCGGGTGCCGGGCTCGGGGAGGGCACGGCTCCCCCGAGGGGCTGCGGTGGGAGTGGGGCCAGGGGCCGGGCTGGGCGCACAGCTCCCCACCGGGACCCGCCGAAGATGCGCCCGAGCGCCGGCGCTGGCTGCGGCTTCCGTTTGGTTCCGTGAGGATTTCCCCGAGTAGGAAACAAAGCGAACAGCGGCGGGCGGCATTTCGGGAAGGGGGGGTTGCAGCCGTTGAAAAACCAAACTGAAGCCGCCGCCCGCAAAAGCAATCCGGTCACCAGCGGGTACCAGCAGGACCCCCCGGCTCTGTCTCGGGGCGCACGGCCGGGCTGCTGCGCACCTCCCCGGGACCGTTTTGGTTGCGTACTGCTCCCTGCCGCCGAGGAGAGGCTGCCTTCCCCTGCCTTCCCCTGCCTTCCCCCGCGGCCGTGGCATCCCCGGCCCGGCCCCGCCGGCAGCAGCGGGGACGAGGAGCGGGGTCTCCTTCCCCGGAACGCCTTAGTAAAGTCTGGAGGACGTTTCCAATAGCTTCCTCTGTTATTATTATTTTTAAAGGTGTAAAAGCCCCCATTAGCTCCAGTTCCGGTGTTTCTTGTTTTAAAACGAAGTTTTAAAACAAACAACCCGAGTTGATAAGACCCACCTAGACAAACAGCAGGGCCGGCCCGGAGGCGCTGGGAGAGAACAGGCTTCGCAGCGCCTTCCCCGAGCCTTTTCCTGCCGTTTTTACCCCATTTTCTCCTGTTTTTATCCGCCTGCCTGGAGATTTGTCGATGTCATAAAATAAACGAAGAAGAAGGGGGAAGAAAACCCGCGATTCAAATCGACTTCTCTCTTTCAGGGCCTTTTCGGAGTCGGCTACGTGCGACCCTCCCGCTGCCTTGGGAGAGCGAAGAAAGGCAGAGCGAAGGGCTCCTGTTTGCAGAGAGCGTCCGCCCGGAGCCTGGCCGACCTTTTCCGCTGAGGAAGGCAGCGCCGAGCCCGGCGGCAGCGAGCGGCACGGCCCGGCGCCGGGCGGCCACCGGCTGCGGGAAATGCCGCCCGGGGTCCCGCAGCCGCGGCCGGCCCCTCGGCGGCTGCTCCTCCGGCGGGCGCCGCGGTGGTTTGTTTGGTTTGTTTAGTTTGAGGAAATCGCTGTATTTTTTTAAAAAATACGCAAATATTTGCCGATAAATATATTTAAGTTTTGGCACCCCCAGGAACCTCCCCATGGCCGGAGGGGACGCGCGGCCGCTGTGGCTGGGCCGTTCCCGAGCGGCCCCGGCCGCTGCAGCCGTTCCCGGGGCTCACGGAGAGCAGCCACCGGGGCGTTCGTTGGTTTGGTTGCTTTGCTTTGCTTTTCTCCCCCCAGCCGGGATCGCTTTAAATCACGGGAACGACGAGCTCGCCCCCCAGGAGGCAGCGTCTGCCCGCAGCCCTCCGCAGCTCTCTGCGATCGGCCCCGGCGATCGCAATTAACCGCAGTAATTAGCACAATTACCGTTCTTCACCCCCCCACGCGTTCTGCTCCCTTCCAGCGCGGCCCCATCCTTTGCAGCCCGGCCGGGAGCGAGCTCCCGGTCCCGGTGCCGGGGCGCAGCGGAGCCGCCGTGGCCGCGCAGGGCCGAGCCGAGCCGAGCCGAGCCGGGCTGTGCCGGGCTGTGCCGGGCTGTGCCGCGCTCCTTCCCCGCTCCTCGGGAAGTGCGGTCGGCCTGGAGGGCGCTTTGAGGTTTAAAACCGCCTGAGCCGGGGGCTGTTTGCAGTCCCCGCCGAAAGGAAAAGTTGTGCCCGTGCTCAGCATTTATCCAGTTACAGGTATTGCGCGGTGCGGGTCGGGTGTTGTTTTTTTTTTCTTCCTCCCGTTCTGCTGCTGCCCGCCCCGGGCAGGACCGTGAGCTCCGGGGACGGGGCCGCCTTTAAATCCCCAGCGGGACAACCGAGAGCCGGCGCCCGGCGCCCTCCCGGCGGCGGCGAAACCCCGCGGCGGAGCCTCCACGGCCCGGCCCGGCCCGGCTCGGCCCTGCCCGCCCCTTCCCCGCAGCACCGGAGGCCTTGGGGCCGCGGGAGCTCGCCAGTTTCTCCCCGGGTAAGAGGCCGAAGGTCAACCGACGGCAACCCCGCGGCCGCCCGGGGCTCCGCACTGACCTGCCGGCCTTGGTGACGATCATCTCGGTGCCCAGCTGGTTGAACTCGTCCCACAGCGCCTTCATCTCCAGCTGGACGCTGACGTTGGCCACCTTCGGGTTCTTCTTCACCGGCGCCTTGGCCGCGGCGGCCGCCCCCGCGGAGCAGCCCGAGACGGCGGCGGGTCCCGCGGCGGCTCCCCCGGCGCCCTCGGGCGGTTCGGGGCCGGGGGGCGGCGGGTTGGCCCCGGCCGCCGCCGCCCCGCCGAAGGGGTAGCCGTGCTGGGGCTGGGGCGGCGGGTGCGGGTGCTGCTGAGCCGTGCAGGGCTCGTAGTGCGGCGGCTCATGCTGTCCGTACGGGTCCCCCGGGGAGGGGGAGAGGTGGTACCCCCCGGAGGCGTTCAGGCTGCTCAGGCTGTTGGCCGTGAAAGCTGCAACATCGCAAAAATGGGACAGCTGGGTGAGCCAGGGGCTGGAGATAGCTGAAATCATTCCAAAAAACAGGCAGGCGGTCAGGGCTCCGCTCCGGCAACCGCTTTCCCCCCCAGCTCCGCGCCGCTCCGCGGGGTGCCCTCCGCCTCCGCCGCTGCCCCGCGCCCGGCCCAGCGGGGCGCCTCCCCCTTCCCGCTTCGCCTGGCCCCGGCCCCGCTCCCCCCGGGGCAGGCGGGGAGCTCGCTGCTCCCGCTGCCTGCCTGCCTCGGCGCTTTTTCCCCCCCCTTTTTTTTCTTCTTCTTTTTTTTTTTTTTTTTTTTTCTTTGCAAACCCGAGAGATCTGCCAAGAGCCGCGGCGGTGCATTGCCGGTGTTATCTCTGCAGAAGGCCTCCCTCGCCGCACGCGAAATGGGACAAAGCAAATTCCCCTTCCCCCCCTCCCCCAAAATCTTTTTTTTTTTTTTTTAAAAAAAAAAAAAGGAGGAGGGGAAAAAATTAAAAAAAAAAAAAAAAGAACGAAACCGGTTCTTATTTCCGTGTAGCGACGGTGCTGCAGGTAAAGTCCCTCGCTCTGGAGCCGCGGGGCCTTGGCTGCCAGAGGCAGGAGGAGCGGGGTTGGCAAATCTCCCCCGTGTGGGCATCCCCGAGCGAGAGCAGGGGGCGGCCGGGGCCCAGCGCAAGGCTCCGGGCTCGGCCCAGGGCCCCCGGCACGGCCCCGGAGCGCAGCCCCCGGCCGCCGGCCCGAGCGGGCCCCGCGGCGCAGCACAGGGCCGCCCCGGGAACGGGCGCGCTCCTCCGGGTCCCCTCCGATGCCCTGAGGCTGCTCCAGGCCCCGCGGTCTCTGGGATCACCTCCGGCGGAGCCCCCGGGCCGGGCAGGGGCCGCGGAGCCGGCGGGAGCCGAGCCCAGGCCCGCCGCAGCCCGGGGCACGGCCGGTGCCGTCGGGGATGCTCCGCGGGCAGAGCCTCGGCCCCGTCCCGGCCGAGCCGGGGGTGGGGGGCACCGCTGCGAGCCCCCGGCAGCGGCCCCGCGGGGGCAGGCCGGGCTCCCGGCCCCTCCGTCAGGCCGGGGGGCGTTCAAAGCGTCGGCCGGGCGGCGGTCGGGGGGTCGCGGCTCCCCGCAGGGCGCTCACCTTCCATGTCCCTGGTGACGGTGCTGAAGTGCATCTTCGGCGGGCGGCTGGCGGGGCCGGCGGGCGCGCTGCGGCCACCGCGGCGCTCCTCCAGCGCTCCCTTCCCTGCTCGCTCGGCGGCGGCGGCGACTGAAATCAGAGAGGCGATACTGAAAGCATTTGCCTTGGGAGACAGAGGGCTGTTTTCGTCCATAGGGGAGACACCAATGCAGGAGCGGCAGCCGCGGCAGCCTCCCACCACGAGCCCCCCCCTCCCGCCCCTCACTCCCCTCCTTTCTAGCGCACCATCCAGGGAGGTGCGAGCGGGACCCCCCCTCCTTCCACACAAGGGGGAGGGGAGCTAAAAAAAATAACACAACAAAAAACACACACAAACAAAAAAAAAAAAAAAAAGAAAAAAAAAGAAAACAACCCAAAGCCTCTGCCCCCCCCTCGGGAAAGGCGTTGAGGAGCAAAAAACTGCCCCGGGGCCCTGTGCGGACAGCGCCGAGCGCTGCAGCGCCCGGACCGAGCCCTGCTGGGGACAGGGGATTGGGGCGGGGGGGGGGGGAGACAAATAAATAACCCCCCGAATTCCTTCCCCGGGGTCTCAGTTTCTCTCCCCCACAACTTCTTTCTGTGCAGTTTATTAATTTCTCTCCTCTCTTCCCTTCCCCCAGCCGCCACCTCCTGCTCCTGCCCCCCCGTGCCCCCCCGCACGCAGGGACAGTGGCTCCCTTGGAGGCGCTTTTCCCCCGTTCAGCGGCTGGGAGGCGTCACATGGAAGCCGGGGGTGTTTGCCTGCAGAAGCGGCGGCGGCGGCGGCGAAAGCGAAGTGAAACTCCTGCCGAGACGGTGTCAAAGGGCTGGGGAGGCCCTTCCCCGCCTCCCGGGCACGGCGAGCGGCCGCCGGGGAGGGCCGGGATGTGCCGCGGGGCGGGCGGAGGGGCCGCCGGTGTCAATCACGGCGCCGGGAGCCGGCCGACGGGAAGGGAAGGGAAGGGAAGAGCCGAGCCGGGCCGAGCCGAGCCGAGCCCGGCGTCACGCTGCGGATGTCCGGGAACCAGAAGGGGATTGCTCCCTTCCTCCGGCACCGAGCCGCCGCGGGGCTCCGGGCTGCCCCGGCCCGGCCCGGGGCTCGGTGGCCGCGGGGGCTGCACGTCGGGGAGCGCTGCGGGAGCGGTGCCGCCGGTAGCCCCGGCCGTGCGGGCTGGGAGCCCTGGGAAGCCAAGCCCCGGGCCACCAGAGCCCCGAATCGCACGCAGGCGTTGGAGCGTTCCCTTCGCCGATAAAAAAGAATAATAATACCAAAATAAATTGCAAAAGCGCAGAAAACGGAAAGCAAGCGGCGGGGCACAAGGCGAGCCCTTGCGCGGCCCGGCGTGAGAGCCCGCGGTGGCGGCAGCACCTGCCTGGCTCGGGGGCCGCCGTCCCCGGTCCCCGTCGTTGTCCCGGCGAGGCGCTGGCTACTCACCGCCCGGCACCGGCCCCTCGGAGCGCCGCCGCGTCCCCCGGGCCCGTCCTCCGCATCGGCGCGGGGCCAGGCGGCACAACCGCCCCGCCGGGCCCGGCCCCGGGCCCCTGTCCCCGGCCCAGCCCCGGTGCCGGTGCCGGTGGCTCCGTCGGGCGGCCGCGGCGAAGTCCCGGGGGAGCTGCCCCCGACGGGGCGGGCGGAGCCGTGGGGCGCGCCGGTGGCTACCGCCGCACCGGGGCTTGCATAACCCGAGCGGTGCGCCGAGAGCCCGAGTGAGCAAGCGGGTTATATATAGCTGCCCTGTCTGTAGCCTGCGGGGCTTGATTCTTCTGTTGAAATATTATCTTTGGATGCGGTAAAAATATTTGCAGAGAAAAATCTAGACTACTCGTACATATTTGAGCATATGTTCCTGCAGCTGAAGGCACAAGGGCACAACGGGACGCGGGCGGGGGTTGTTTCCGTGCCGCTGCCGTTCCCGGCCGGGGCATTTTCGGTGCCGGGAGCAGGGGCAAAGGGGGGCCCGGTGCGGCCCCGCGCTGCTGCCTGGCTGCGAGCAACGCAGGAGGGGAACGGATTTCGTTAGGAGCCCACGAAGCAAAGCTCCCGGGGTGCGGGGGGAAACGAAGGAGCCGCGAACGCGGCAAAGCGGCCCCGGGAGGTGCCCGGCCCTGGGGCAGCCTCTCCCGCGGGAGGAAAAAATATCTGGGAATTAAGAAGAGCCCCGAACGCAGCGCCCCGACAGAGGAGGGAGCTGAGGGGTTGCTGTCCGTGCTTTGCTTGCCCCGACTTTCTCCCTTTCTCTCGGCTCTTTCCCTTTCCCCTTCCTGCTTCGTGGCTGCAGCCGCAGCGGGAAGCGGCGCCCCGTCGGGCACAGCCCGGGTGCGGAGCCCTCGGCCTGGCCGCCCGCGGGGGGCTGCACGGGACCCCCCGGGATCAAGGGACCCTCTGGGAGCAGGGGACCCCCCGGGAACAGCCTCCAGCCGTACCACGGGGCCGCCCGCCCCCCCCCCAGCCCCCAAATCGCTGCTGCCCTGGGGGTCGTGCAAGCCCCGCGGCTCCGCTCCCAGCCCCGGGCCGGCCTCCCCGTGCTCCCACCAGGACCCTAAAGCCCCCGGCCACGTTTCCCGGCCGTCTCCCCAGCCCCCGGGCGCTTGTCCCGCTCCCCGGCCGCTCTGCTTCGCCGGAGCGCTGCGAAGCGAATCCAGCCTCGACGCGGGGCTGTGCCGCCGCCGGGCTGACACCGCGCTGCCGCCGGCGCTGCGGCCCTCCCTGGTCCGGGGCTGAACGGATCGAGCCTGGGAGCTGTCGGAAAGGCAACGAGGGTGAGGGGGGGTCCTCTGAAACCCCCTCCCCCACATCGCCCGCTCAGGCTGGGGGGGGCAGCCCGGGCTTGTCCCACCGGGAGCGGCTCCGCGCTGCGGGAGAGGCGAAAAAAAGCCGCCCCCCCCCTGCCCGGGGCACCCCTCTCCTGTGCCCCGCCATCCTCGGGCCTCGGCGGTGCAAAACCCAGCGGCGGCAGTGGGAAAGCAACGCGGCGCTGCAGTCCCCTCGGTCCCCCGACGGCAGCCCCAGCCCCGCCGCCGGCTCCCCCCGTCGGGGTCCCGCAGCCCGCAATGCCCCGCACCTTTCAGGCGAGCCGGGGCCGGACGCCGCGGGCAGCTCCCTTCCGTCCTCCCTCGCAGGGTTTTCCCCCTCCGGCTCCGCTCCAGCCCCGGGCTCGGGCGGCGGCACTTTTGGCCGGGCTGTGCCGCAGGTGCGGCCCCGACGGGCTCTGCCCGCTCCCGGGGGCCCGGCGGGGACAGAGCCCCCTCGCTCCTTCGCTCTCAGCCCTCCCGCAGCTCCCCTCCCGTCCCCCCAGGCCCCGCGTGTCCCTCCCGCCCCTCACCTCTGCGCCCCGACGGGCTCCCGGCGAGCCCGGCCTGCGGGGGAGCTGGGGGGGCTCGCACGGCCCGGCTCGGGCTTGCCGCGGCAGCCCCGGCTCCCCGCCGAGCTGCGGGGCTCGGGGAGCAGCACATAAATAGCGGGGGTGGGGGGGTGAAGGGGGTGGGGGGCAGCGGCAGCCAGCCGGGGCTGCGGCCGGCCAGGGGCAGCCCCGCACTCCGCGCACGGCCCGGAGGGGAACAGCCCCGGGGCCGGGGCCGGGCGAGCCCCGCGCTGAGAGCGGAGCGGAGCGGAGAGGTCCCGGTCCCGGTCCCGGTCTCCGGCGTCTCTGCAAGCCGGTGCCACAAACCGGGAGCCGGCACCGCGGCGACACCGCGGGGGAGCTGGGCTGAGGAGCCGCGGGGAGTGCGGGATTCGTTGTGAGAGGGCAGCGAGGGGACAGCCGGGGCTGCCGGCAGGTGAGGGAAGCCCGCAGCTCCCGCAGCTCCCCGGGAAAACGCGGATTTTCTGGCGTGGGGTTTGGGACCGTTATCGACGAGCACTGCTGTTACTCTTACAGCCAACATCGTTATTATTCCGACTACGGACGACTATTAGGATTATTTTGCAACTGCCGCTTGAACTATAAGAACCAAAATTAACGAATGCATCTGACGGATCGAAAAATCAAATGTGTCGTTAACCAGCAGCCACCGAGAAAGCCTGACAGAAGGGCAGAACGAGAGTTAGAAGAAGGAAACGAGAACGAGATAAAGATACATATAGAAAAAGAAGGAAAGAGAGAGAAGAAGAAAAGAAATTGAAGAAATTGAAGAAGTAACAAAACAGAAGAAGGAAAGACAGAA